CTATTGCTACTTTTGTATCTCAAGTACAATAGTAATAATAATTAATTTAAATAAATAATTCAATTCAAATTGAATTTTGACACTTGAAAATGTCAAATCAAAACAATTGGTTGCCATGGTTACGCACTGCTACTGCTATTTTCTATATCAAATGAATGAGAAATAATAAAACTTTAAATTAATTTTTCTCGAAAATTTTCTTATGTAACCGATATTAATATTTATAGCACATAATTCAAAAAAAAATTCTCTTTCAAATTCCGATATAAAAAATGGGGTGTCCCATTAAAAAAAAAACTTCGATGACGTCATAACTCGTTTAAAAATGGCGGAAAAAATTTAAAATATACACCAAAAAATTGCAAAAAATTTAAATCTTTAGACCTGTTTCAGCGATCTTTTCATAAATTGTTTGTAATGATTTTATTGACTTTATCCGTTACTTTTGAAACGCACTGTATACAACTCTGAATCTTTTCTGGAAGCACTATTACGTTTAGCAAGGTAATTTTTCATATTAAAATAAATAAAACGAAGTTAATTTTTTATGAAATGTTAATTTTAATAATTTCAAATCATTTATTTTAATTCAATCATTTGACACATTTATAACAAATCCATTCTAAATTATTTCGTTTATTGTTTTTATTCACAGTTGCTTCTGTCAATTTCTTTCATTTTAGAATAAATCGAATTTAATTTAATATTTTTCATCGCCTTTTTAGCTTCATTAATAACGGTTTCGTTTCGTCTGGACTCCCTCGTACTAATTACAACTGCACCTACGCAAGATATATTTTATGTAATAAAAAATGACAATTTTATAAATATATTTACTATTATCATGATTTTCCGAATAACAAATATACCACAGCGACCAAGAATCGTAATCCATAGCGATTAACCAATTCCTTCTAATCTCTAAAACATTAATATTGATTATGAAGGAGAAGTTGCGATATATAATATTTTTAATTACTTCCAAGCCAATCAATACAAAATTCTGAAGTATTGTTAATTTGATACATTTTAAACGTATCATTCTTTCTGAAATGTAATAAAAATGGAAAATTTTAAACTTTAATAGAAAACGTCTTATTTACCCATTGTCCCAAAACCGATCTATGGTTATAGTAGCATTACATGGTTTATCATCTGATCGCACAACGTAGTAAACACATCTTTTTGTGACTTCTATTTCACTTGCAATTTCTTGAGGGTACCAGTTTCCCATTATCTAAATAGAAAATTAAGAAAAACTAGAAAGTTTAATTTTTTTTATATAACCTGTGCTAATTTAAAATCTTTCACTGTGGGCATACGATAACAAATCTGACCGTATGCTTCCATTTCGATTAATATTCCCATAATAATCACAAGGAGAAAATATTTTTGAGTCATTTTCATCAACGAACAATTTCACCTTAACCTTTTTTAACGAAACCTGCGTAGTTTTATAAACAACACACCAGATTTTTTGTTACCATTTAATTTTTATAACTAATTAGCGTGTTTGAATTTGCTTCGTTAACATGAAATTTTTTTCACGTTACAATATAAAAACTAATAATAATAAGGTTAGTTACTTTTTACTAATTAAAATTCTTTTTGATATGGAATTTATTAAAACTAAAACGCTTACTAAAAGGCTAGATTCTTACAACAAATTAAAGTTTAAACATAACCCTTCAAAATGATGTATTTATGTAAGCTCCAATAAAATGCTCTAAAATACTTATTAAATAAAAATATCCCAAGTACTCAAGTTCGAACTAGTCATTTGTAACATACTACTGATAAGTCGTATACCGAGAGCTTTCGGAAGGGCTTTCTACTGTGGTAAAGGTTGTTTAAAAGACTTTACCACAATTAAAAACTCTTTGTCTTTTTCTTTATAAATAAATTATATTTTACATATGTTATAACTTTCGATACAAGATACGAAGTTAATGAAGTATATCAAATTCTCAAGTCTATTATTTTCTTTTTTCTTTGTTTTTTGGTAACTCGATCTTTTTAAAACAAAATATTAAAATATATCGTAGTGCATTTGGATTTTAGGGAGTAGATTTTGCTATTGGGATTTTATATATAGAGCTACTATATAAGCTCATAAGAATCATGTCATACCAGACCATTATAAACTTATCGGCAACATGCTGTGCGATACATACTTCTGCGTAACGCTGGGAACCAAGATGAGAAAACAAAAAAAAATGAACATGCCTCTGTTCTTGAACCCATACGTTTTAATTTATACACATCAGATCTAACAACCACAAGGGCAAGAAAATGTATCTATGCCGATGATATAACACTCGCTGCCCAACAAAAATGGATTGAGTGCACTGAAGATATCCTCTCTAATAATCTGAGAGCTATGGTGAATAACACCTAACCTGAAAAAGACAGAGGTGAGCCTTCCACTTGAATAATAGGAGACTCCACCGAGAGACTCTAGGTCAGTTTTATAACATAACGCTGCAGCACCAAGATTTCCCTAAATACTTAGGCGTCACGTTGGACAAATCACTCTGGTTAAGAAAAAACGTCCAGAGAACACATTTGCAAAAATTTGAAATCGCGATAATATCACATAAAAACTCTGCTGCTCTACATGGGGTGTCGCAAAAACTACGCTGCGATGTTCTGCCCAGTCACTGGTTTTCGCTTCAGACAGAACCATTCAACAATATCCCAGTACATCGTACTATAGATGTTACAAAGAGAGCACTCAAATAACAAGTTAACTCTGTAGAGTTAAACAAACGGATGCATATTTAGACATAACGGAAAAGAAAATAAGCTACTGTATGTCTTGTATACCGGACCTACACTAGGTTGGTATTGCTCGTAGTGAGACCAAATATCACTGCTTTCAATCAATATAAGTACGAAGGCTTTCGCGGCCGGTATGAATTGAACTAAAATTAGAACTAAAACTAGAAGTAACACTAGAAACTTTCGGGTTTTGCCGTGCGTCTTTTCAGAAAAGGTTTAACGTTTCGGATGCCATGTTGTAACCCGAAGTGACTCACTTCGAACCAGTTTCTGAAGAATGTTGCAACAAGTTTAGCAGATAGCCGGCCATAGTACTATATGTGAATGGACTAAAAGTTGGAACATAAAATCAAATGCCTTCTACCGTGAGTGTGATTTACATTTTTCTAACAAATTTCTCCACTCTTTTCTGTTCCGGCCATCTTTCTTACTCATTCCAGCTCCTTCTCGGACTACCTCTCATCCGTCGTGCTTCCGCTCAAGTATTCAAGACTTTTTTTGTCTGCCGATCTAAAGGCATTTTTTAAACGTACCTCCCCATAGAAGCTGTCTTTTCTCAATGTATTTTAACTTTGTCATAACGATTCTGTTTACTCCTAAGGCCAGTTTCAAGTACTTCGTCTCTGTAGCTTGAAGCTTACTTTTCTCGATGTAACGAAGTGTAACCAAAAGTCAAAACAGATCTAAATATCGCTTTGAAAATCTTGTAGTACTGTTTCTTTGAATAACTCCTTCCTGTTAATAATGTACACGTTTAACGTATAATTTTATTGCTTTTTCCATTTTTTCGTCAATTTCTTTTTCATTTCTGCTTTGTCTTCCAGCCTTGCTCCCAGATATTTTAAATGTTGTTTGCTCGAATTACTACATCGTCCGCAAATGCACATTGTCCCACATACACTTTTTGCATATTTCAATGTCCTATTAACATTTTTCTAGTGTTTTTGTAACATTCCTATACAACGTCGCCCATAAATATCGTGAATAATACTGAGCTCACTGCTCCTCCCTGACATAAACTAAATTCATCCGATTTTCAATCATCCTCACTAATTTATTTTTTACTCCTCTAAGTTGCATGCGTTATCTTACTATTTAGGTACTCTATCAAAACCGTTTTTGAATCCACTTTGTGATTCGAATAATTTTGGTTTTATAACATTTGTTTTATTCTTTTGTGCAGCATATGTTCGTAACATTTTAGTATACCATCAAAACTTTATGACTCTACTAATAAGGTTAAAGGAAGCATGCATTCTTTTCTAATCTATTGGTATTGTTTCTTCTCTCCACGCTTTGTTAAGTACCTCGACCAGCATTTCTTCCCAACTTCGCCCATTTTACTAGAATATATTTATTTTAATAGATTTTACTAGAATGCCTGTTTTTTTTTGTAGTTTTGCTTCATCGATTTCATCCATTGTTGTTTTAGAATTGTCAGTGCCTGTCACTTCCGTATTTTTTCGCGACCTTTATTATTTCTGTATTATTTTATGTGTATTATTATTTATTTCTGCTTACATTTCGAAAAGTTCTTTGAAAGTTACATTTCCATCTTTCCATAATCTCTTCTTCCTTTGTTCTTTTGGTTTTAAGTATATTAAAAAGTAACTTTTGATGTTCCTTTCTAAATTTTCTTTAAAACACGTCCATGTTCCCATAGACATTTTTCCCTTCTGAGTTTACCTTGATTGCCAATTTCTTTTTTATTGCTATGTTCTTTCCTTTTTGTTTAATTTTGTTCATTGTTTAGTTTTTTATGTTACTCTTTATTTCTGATACCACCAAGTAAAGATTGCTATTTATATCGGGTCCTCATCTCATTTTAGTGCCCAAAACAGCTTTTCTTTTCTCTCACCGTACCAACGAGTAATAAATTATCTACTATTCTCTTCTACGTGGTTCCTTCGTATACTTATGTATATCTTTATATTCATAAAACGTGTTTGTTATTATAATGTCGTTAATTTTATTATTATGCATGTCTTATATGTGGAAGCTTATAACAATTCATTTATCAATTCTTCTTCTTTGCCTCTTATCAAAGCCGCCTCAAGTCCACATGTAGTCACTGGCAGGATGCAACTATCATACACCTTTCATTTTAGGCTTCGCGGTATTTCTTTGCTTTTCAGTATAAAACTAAGTTTTCCAACTGCCCATGATAGTTGATTCCAACGCTTTATTTCTGCTGTTTGATATTCTTTGCCAATTTGAAAACTGTGGTCAAGGTATATATACTTACAGCTTACATTCTCTAAGAAAACGTTGTCAATGGCAATCATTTTGCATATTTCTCATTATTTTGGTTTTATGCTGGTTCATTTTTAGACCTATTTTCTTTGAGTGTTCGTTTAAATCTTGTAATATATTTTCCAGTTCCTCTATGTCTGAACTGACCACTACCATATCGTCTGCGAAACTTAAGTGATTCAAGCATACTGTAACACTGCGCTGCGCTGCTCGGCGCAATTTAGTTAACTCAGTACGTGTTACGTGCGCTGATACCCAATTTTAAAATAAGTCAACTCAATTGCGCCACCATTGTAAAGTATGCCGGTGTGGCTTGAAGATTTACAAATATGTATGTAAGTAAAAATTACATTATTATAGATATTTTTGATGATGGCGGTATATCGCGAATCTATTCTAGCATCTTCTAATCCTGTCAGACATGACCAGGCCTCAATGCTATCAAAAGGTTTGTTATCACAAGATTTGTCGGTGAATGCCCAGTACTGAAACCTTTCCACTCACCGGTTTGTTCCACTGGTTGATTTGAATCTAATTTGACTGTAAGACGATTCGTAATAATACTAGTCAGTATTTATACAGATGAGAAAATAAACTTATGGGTTTATNAGAAAAAAAAGGATAGAAACGCGAATTACAAAAAATAGCATAAAAAACACGTTTCATAAGACTTAAAGCACTCATTCATTAAAAAACTCGTGGCTGCGCCACTCGTTGTTCAAATTGAATTCGTGCATTTCAAACGTGTCTTACAAAACTTGTTTTTTAATATACTATTCCAGTTCCTCTATGTCTGAACTGACCACTATCATATCGTCTGCGAAACTTAAGTGATTCAAGCATACACCATCCACATTCAGACTAGAGATGTGTAACACTGCGCTGCGCTGCTCGGCGCAATTGAGTTAACTCAGTACGTGTTACGAGCGCTGATACCCAATTTTAAAATAAGTCAACTCAATTGCGCCACCGTTGGCGTAATAAAGCACGCCGGTGTAGCTTAAGATTTACAAA